ACATTTACATCCAATTGAAACCTTTCCCAGAGGCAAAGAAACCACATATCACATGTTGTTTGATTCTAAAGCAGATATTTCCTCATTCATAACTTGGACCCAAAGAGATTTTTTAATAGCTTCATGAAAGGTCTTAAGTTAAACAAAATGTGAAGTAGAAGAAAGAAAACTTTAAGTATAAAGAAGAGAATGAAAATAAGAAATACATGAAGAAATAAGATACTTGGAAAGAAAGAAGATCAGCAAGAGTGAACATAATCATTTAGCCAACGAGGAGGTTTGACATTCCTAATAGACAATCTTTATAAAAAAATAGGATAGCACTCAACTTCTGGTAAAGAAACAATAAGTGAAGAGGCCAAAAGACTTGGTGAAGGATGAACATTGGCACCATCTGATGAAACTTGCGGTGTGAATGATGACTGTAAAGGACTACACGAAGGAGATATTAATGAAGGACTCAAAGTAGAAGAGGAATTAGAAGGATCAAGAAGCAAACAATCTATATAAAAGGTTAAGAAGAGTAGGGAAAAAATAGACGATTCTAAAAGTGGAAAACGAAAAGGAAATACATTTTCTAGAAACACCACATCTATGTTCACAAAAAACAATTTAGTTTCAAGATTGAATAAAATATAACCTTTTTGAGTAGCAGAATATCCCATAAAGACCGACAAATTCCTTTTAGAGAGAACTTATCAACATAATGAACTTGTGTAGCATAACAAAGGCAACAAAAGATTTTCATATGGTAGAGGTTAGGGGGTTTCTTGAAAAACATTTCAAATGGACTTTTCCAGTTGAGAACAAATGTAGGAAGTTTGTTGATGTAACCCCAAAATTTAAGTGTTATATTATAATGAAAACGAAGAACCCCAGCAATCCTATGTTTCCTCTCAATCACCCCATTTTGATGAGGAGTTTGAAAACAAGAGCTTTGATGTTTTATCCAAGAGAAAGAAAAAGACTTGAGCATTCAGAAGTAAAAAATTCAGATTTATTGACACTTCGGACAGTCTTAACAGTTGGAATGATGATTTTGAACAAAGGAACAAAGCTATTTGAGTAAAAGCACATCATCAATGTTAAGTTTTATCAAATAAATCCACGTCATCCAAGTACAGTCTTCCACAATAATAAAAAAAATGATGACCATTATGTGTAGAAAAACGACAGGGTCCCCACAAATCTATATGAATCAACTCAAAAGGTGCACTAATTCTAGTGGTACTCAACGAAAAAGGTAATCTAGTTTGATTTGCCAATAGAAAAATCAAACGATTAGAAACATCAACATGACACTAATTTAATGATTGCAAAAATAGATTTTCATGTTTTGTTTTAAGAGGTGCACGACCCAATCGGGCATGGGAGACATAATTTTTATTAATCGATGAATTGGTCATACATATAGTATATGCAAAAACAAAATTCAAAGAAAGTGAACTACAAAAATTACCGGAAGATTCTCCAAGGACAAGACTTGTGGAATCAAAAAAACACAAGCCTCATGACTCTTTATCAATTCACTTCACTTCATCCTTCCATGGTAAAGATAATGTAAAATACAAAAATCAGGATAAAAATTAATGCTACAATTTAGGTTTGAGTGAGCTTGAAAATTGAAAGTAAATTGCGAGTACAATGGGGAACATAAAGCAAATTAGGAAGCATATTGGTAGGATCGAATGAGAAGGACTCAATGTGTGTGATGGGAGATTTTTTACAGTTTGGAAGGTGAACAAGGTGTGAGTCCGAAGCACATGAAGTGGGAAAATCTAGGCTATGAAAATCAGACAATATATGATCAGTGGCTCCAGTGTCAAGTATATATGGTACATAATCGCGGGAAGTAGGCATATCTTGGGGAACCGTACCTGCTAAATTGGTAGCATACTCAATTGGAGGTGCTTTATTCAGCAAACCAAGAATTTGGTTATATTATTCACGAGTAACCGGTGCAGAAGACGTAGTAGAAACTACACCAAGCGGGTTTCTAGAACTAGATTTTAATGTTGAAGCATCGGTCATTGTGTTTGCTGCCAACACTGCTTGAGAACCTTTCTTCTTCGTGAATTTGAAGTCCGGAGGAAAGCCATGAAGCCGATAAGAATTTCCGTGCTTATGCCCACAAATCTTGCAATCGTCAAATGTTCCAGTGAACCTCCTACGATCGAAAGAACCAATCGCATTAGAGAAAATAACTGTGGCCTCTAAGATCAGAGAGACACCAGACAATTAAGATCGCTGAGACTCCTCTTGGAAAATCATTGAATAGGCTTGATTTATATGATTGAAAGTGGGAACATCAAAAAATTTGTCTTTGGATCGTCAGATATGTCTCATTAAGCCCCATTAAAAATTTAAATAACCTTTGTTAAGCAATATGATAAAGACTTTGTTGAGAAACCTCACAATCAAAAACAGAAATAGGCACCAAAGAATTGTGCTCATCTAATAGAAGCTTCAACCGAGTAAAATACATTGATATGGTTGAATCCCCTTTACTTATCATTGCAACTTCAGTGAAGAAATAAAATAAGAGATCCATCAACTTTATCGAACCGTTCTTTGAGGTGCCAAACCTGAGCCACACTGGAAGCAAAAACAATCCCCGGCGAGAGTTCATTGCTGACTGTGTTAAGAATCCAAGAAAAAACAAAGGCATTGCATCGCTCCCACTGAGAATGCAGATGCGCTCTGTAGTTCTCCTTCTTGCAGCAGCCGTTGATGAAACCCAATCTATTATTTTACAAGAAGTACGATACACATAGACCGATTCCACAAATTATAATTGTCGATACCCACAAGCCGATGAGAAACTAGGAGTCCTCACGGTGCATCTGACATATGCAAGAAGAGAGGATGGTTGAAGTCAATCATCAAATCATCAATCGCCAGAGGCATTTTAGTAGAAAAGAAAGTGAAAACCTAAACTAAGCTGAGGGAAAAAGAAAGACCCGAAACAAAGCACACCAAAAACACACAAGGCCCAAACATGAAAGAATTCTATCTGATACCATATTAAGAATTAAAATCATTGAAATAACTCTCATATTTCATATATTAAAATGTCAGTATATCATCTACTCATACTACCATCTAACTTTAAAATTGCATATGAACAAATTAATTAACTAAAACTAACCCTAACTATTTCTGCAACTAAATCTATCATTGTTAACAGATCGACCCTTGAGTCATTTTTTTTCGTAGTCACATTTTCATCACTTTATATTTTTAATTTATTATTATTAGTTTACTTGCATTTGAGTCTTGACTAAGTTGGAAGGATTTTGAATTGTTTAAGCATGAGTTTCCTTTTTTTTACTATCGAAAATAACTTCTTTATGTGTAGTGTTAAAAGTACTTCAATTACACCAAGGTTGTGAGAAACTAAGAATAGTCAAAAGAAATTAATGTTTACATGTTTAAATATCTCATCAAAAGTGTTGGATGTGTTAGATACCGACTCAAATTCTAGTTAAAAAATAAGTTGAATCTTGTCACAATTCTATTGGTTGGAGATTATTTGGTGATTAAATTTATTTAGCTAAGAATTATTGATGACCAAATATTTGACTCTATAAATAAAGAGCATGTATTAGTCTTTGAATGATGAGAGAAAACTATTTTGGAGAGATGTAATCCTTTTAAGATCTTTACAATTTTTAGGGTTTATATTACAATGATGATTTTGTAGGGATATTGGAAGAGTGTTTTGGGATACACTAGGTTTTGAGATATCATGTATTTTATATTCTTCATGATCTTTAAATTTATAGTGGATTATTATTCTTCTCATATGTGGAGATAGCCAAGGCTAAACCATGTTAAATCTCGCCTTTTATGCATGTCTTATTTTATGTTGATGTCGTTTTAGTAACAAGTTGTATTAGAGCTATGGTTCAAGTTATTGAGTTTTAAAGGAATTTATTGTTACAGATTTTGTTAGTAACTTTGGAGACATGCATGAGGAATTTTGCTACAATGAGTTTCTAGTTGTAGGAGAGTAATTCTCAATCGATCCAATAATGCTTTAACATATATTTGGCTTACATAAGAATGGAAGTTGTTGAAGATTAGAATATCAATTTTCTAATGGAATTTGTGTCAAGGGAGAGATTGGTAGATATTGACTCAAATTCTAATTAGAAATTAAGTTGAATTTTGTTGTAATTCTACTGGTTGGAGATTACTTGATGATTAAGTATATTTAATTAAAGAATTCTAATGGAATAATGATTCTTGGTGACAAAGTGGTTTACTCTATAAATAGAAAGTATGTATTAGCCTTTAGAATGAGATAGAATTATTTTTGGAGAGATATAATCTATTTTGAGACCTCTAACTTTTGGGGTTTATGTTACATCGATAGTTTTGTAAGAATGTTGGAAGAGTGTTTAGGGATACAATAACAAATTTTTATACTAAGCCTATTTTTATTAACAATAGCATATTATTGAAAACTAATTGTTGTATGAAGATACAAAATAGCCAACCAAATTAATAGTAAAAAAATGACGTCGAAAATTACTCCTAAAAAAGCCATTATACTACAAACTTGAAGATCGAAAAACCATATGAATAGATGTATTTATTCATATGAATATCAGAATATGTGTAATTATTCATATGAATAGATGTAATTACTCATATGGATAGATGTAACATTTCATATGAATAAAAGTAATAATTTTAATAGTCACTTACAAACTCTATAAACACTACAAGAAAATATATCTTTAATGACACACGTTAATTTATGACTTGTAAAAAATATGTGTCATAAAAAAAATATCATGTTTCTTAAAATCTAAACGATTTATAACTTAATGTGTGTCATATTTAATAGTCATAATCCAAAAAATTTACAAAAACACAGAATACACTTTTAATTATATATCATCCGTAAAAATCATCTGTTAATTTATCCCATAATTTTCATCCTTTCCCGCTTCTTCCCTCCACACTAAACCTATATTCCCTTTTTCTCTTTGCATTCATGTTAACATGATATTGAGAGATCAGATGGAGAATGTTTCTTCCCCAAACCCTACCCCTCCAAAATCCAAACAAACCTATAGTTTAGAGCGTTATCTAAAAGTTTCAATGGAGGATGATACTTGGAGCTTTGTCTTCTCAGTTTCATCTAGGAGCTATCAATCCACTCTTAAATCCCATAGTGGTTGGTATTTTTTTTTGTTTGTTTTTTTTTGTTGCTTTTGATTTTGAGTTTTTGTTTTCCGGATTTTATGCGGTTACCGAATGGGGTGTTATTGATTTTGGAAGCAGATCTTTGTATTGATTTTGAAGAGAATGAAGAAGATGATGAATTGATGACGGAATACCCCTGCCCATACTGTTCGGAGGATTTTTATTTACTTGGATTGTGCTGCCATATCGACGAGGAGCATCATCTTGAAGCTGGGTATGGGGTATGCACTAAACCCTTTTTGGATTTGTTTTTAGGCGTGAATTTTTCTTTTGTTTTGAACGATTGTTAGAATTGATATTTAAGGAACGTTTTACACTTCCCGGATATGCTTTAGTTTAGTAATCGACAGTAAAAAATGGTTAGACAAGGGGGGTCTGTTAGTGCCTGTGCATAAGTTGACCCAGCAAAATAAGGCCAAACTCGGTCAACTCTTTGAATTATGTTGTACGGATCCCTTTTACATTGCTATGCCTTTGCCACTTGAGGGAAGAGAATCGGGGTATTGGACAGTGTTTGGTAATCCAGATGGGAACATAGATTGATGAATAGATATTATCAGAACTGAATTACTCGATTCTTTTCCCTCATTCTTATTCAGTATTATCAAACTAGTGTCACTCAATTTATGAACACTTTCTAACATCTTGCAATTTTGTCTGGCTTAAATTGTTATTTTCTACCCATTGAAGCTTATATGATTATCATTGGCTTCATCCTTCTTACCCAAATTATATGACTTTTAATTTCTTCCCTCACTGTTAGTGAATGAATGATTGCTAAAGCTAATGGACAATTTTTGTTCTCATCTTCATGCTTTTAACGGCAATCTGGCTTTTATTATTAGTCCATACATAATGCCCATTTTTTAGGGGTTCTAAAATAAAACCAGTTAATATAAGGCTAAAAGAAGGCTGCAATTGGTTGCAACCGAAAGACTTACCAAGTGCGTAACTCTTTAGAGTAAACTGGGTAACATTTTAGGTTGTAACCAAAAATATTACGTTCTCCATTACAAATCATGTAAATTGCATAACTATTCTGGTTCCAATCTAAAAAGTTGGTCAAGAAACTCATGTAACATTCTCGGTTGTAACCGAAATTATTACCAATTATGTAACTTTTTAGAGTAAACATGGTAACATTTTAGGTTAAAATCGGTCGCAATGTAACATTCTCCGTTGTAACCAAGATTAGTGCTAATTGTTTAACTTTTTAGAGTAAACAGTTAAACATTTTAGGATAAAATCCAACGCAAGTTAGCCTTAGGTTTCCCGGCTACACAGCAAAACTATCACATTTTTGAAACTGACATTCAATAATAATCTAGAGGCCCTATAAGCTTATGTAGTTTGGTGTCGTTTATTGAAATTGGGAGACCATATTCTCTCTCCCTCTCTATTTTGTATATGTGTTGGTTTGTTGGCAGGAGTTAAGACTTTGTACATTATCAGTGTAAATTATAGTTAACAGAACTTTCCTTAATATACTTATTACATGATATGAAGGCTTCTGTTTGAGAAGAACAAGTTTAGTGCTGACCTTACCAAAAGGAATTCTTATTGAATGAATCATCGTGTTACTTAAAGATAGTTTAGTTTTAATTGCAGTTTAGATGTAAATGATGTTTAAGATCAGTTAATCATTATCGCTTATAATTGCAGGTATTCCCCGTTTGTGCTCAGAGAGTGGGTATGAACATGGTTAACCACATAACAACACAACACGGGAATATTTTCAAGATATCCTTGTTTTACTTTTTAGTTGAAAGATTTTGCTTATTTAGTTTCTTTTTCCCTATTCTTTCAACTACCCGTTCAAGATTATGTCATTGTGCTTGAATCATTTCTCATGACATCATGTTTCTTTTACTAATCTCTCTGAATCGGTCCATTTTAGATATTAACTTTCTATGTATGACCATGAGGCTGCTTTGAGGGTTTTTTTATAAATATAATTTAGGCCAGATTCTTTTGAGTTTCATGATCTATGTCCCTTGACCAATGATTACAGTAACCACAAAGTAAATTTTCATAAAGGCGACTCTTTGTCACCTCTTTCTTCCTTGAGGAAGGAATTGCATGATGCGCATTATCAATCTCTTCTTTCCAGGTCATGGTCTTCACTTTCTTCCTCCAATACAGGGCCCGATCCGTTGCTTTCATTTCTTTACAGTGCACCTCCTGCGGATTCATCCGTTGCTTTCATTTTTGTTTTCTGACTGAACAGCCTCAACACATGGAATCTCTTTTACAGAAAGTTGCAGATGGTGTTGTACCTGGGGTGAGCACTCAAATTTTAGACAAAACTAAGATTTCATAATACTTTAAAATTTGAATTTTTGTGAAGCCTTATTCTACTGCTAGAAGTTTTATGATGGTGTTCCACTATGTTTTGTACATATAATGTGTATATAGATTAAACTGGTATCCAGTACCCTTTCTACTTTAGCTTTTTCTCGCTGAAAGGAATGGCTAGTATAAAAAAAAGTTTTGAAACTAATAATACACAAAATATGGGAGCTTTGACTACTATATAAGAAAAAAAGGTTGTTTAGTCAGTTATTCATGTGTGCTATGATTAGGGATATAATTGAGCTGAGTCGAACTGATACATCGCCAAGCTCAAAGTCAGCTTTATAAAAAATCTTGAGACTTTAAATTTGGATTGAGCTTGACTGAGCTTCATTTTTCATTCTTGAACCCTTCTTGTAATTCACTCGAGACACTCAAACTCAACTTGCTGGACTCGATTATGTTTGATAATTTGTTAATATGTACATTAATCACTATATTTTATCCATTTACTAGTTTCTTTTAGAAATATTGTCTATATTAAAAATGAAGGGCGGAGAGCCTTAAGCATTAGTTAATTAAAGTACTCAATCTTGATTCACTCAAGTAGCTCAAGTTTGAGAGAAATGGATTGGACCATTTATTCCAGTAATAAGTTGCTGAATGAATGATGTAGGGATTATTAAGTAGAAGGACAGGTGCGACTAGTATCAATGCTGAAAGTTCTCGTTCCCATAGTGTTTTAACTTGTGTTGTTGAATCTCGATGCAAGGTAATAATATTTCGAATGCTAAAATAGATAGTCGAGAACGGACTTGAAGTGCTGGTCAATAAGGATGTAAGTAAACTTTTCTGATACATATCTGTCAATACATACATATTAGTCATACAACCATCATATGGACTAGTATATTTTCTTGTAGAATAAAGAATACAACTATCATACATAAACATTTCTTGTATCATATACACATCTGTCATATCATACATACACATACTCCCGTCTCAACAATATATGCAAATACAACTAGCTGTGGGAATGCCAATTAAGTTTGTCACAATAAAATGTGTTTTTTTGGTTACATTATCCCCATTTCCATAACTTAGTGGTCTCTTTATGACCTGAAACTAAAGATCCATGGTGTGGTTTGTGTTGTGTAATGAGTTACTTTTGTCAGCAAAAAATACTTACTGCTTGAAAACCCTGCCGAGACTGAAAGTAGAGTATTACTTGTGAACTTGTTGCTTGTTTCAGACTCTTTTTTGTTTTAAGTATAATATTGTTCCTCAATGATCTGTCTGCTTTCCTATCCTAGTGGTTGTTAAAGAGTTACTGCATCCAAGTTGGTAGGTTGACTTGAGTTTGTGAAAATTCTCAACTAAATAAACCTGGATGATTATTGTTAAGCTCAAATCAAGTATAGATGCAGTAGCAATACCTGCTACTTGTATTGTTTTATCTTTTATTTTGTTTCTTAAACTTGAACTAAAGTTAAGGGGGTTTCGTGGAGTGGTCAAGTTGTCTTCTCTGCATAATGAAGTTCTTAATTAAGCAGGATCCTAATTTGTTGAATTACTGCCATTTGTCTTGTTTCGTGTTTTCATATATTAATTTCTTACCCTGAAACTGGTTCTGACAGCACTAATTTGTTTTTCTTATACTTTTCATGAAAATTAAATTTTAAATGCATTTAAGCTGTTGAGTTGCCAAAAGGTTTATGCTATAGGCTGCAAATTGCTTATACGATATGGAGCTTATTATGTACTGGCTGTGCAAAATTTTGACATCTTTGTTTTATTTTGCTTATCTTTTGTTGATATTGTTTTTGCATATTCTAAGCATCCTCATTTTTTTTTGTCAATATAGGTTTGGCAACACTGCTTATTTACACATATCTGTGGGTTTTATCTATATGCTCAAAGCTCTAAGTATGTAGAAACAAAGTGCATTATTGTATATAGATAATGATTATATGTTCTTTCTCAATGTCGTATTTTCTTTGTTTTCTTTGACTAATCGTTTATTGTAAACTATTTGTATTGTGAATATATTGTATGTAAATGGATTGCTTATATATAATATGATATATATATTTAGTATTATGAGGCATTAAATGTGATTTAGTTTGATTATTTGTCAATATACAATATACATATATATATATATATATATATATATATATATATATATATATATATATATATATATATATATATATATATATATATATTTACGAAATGCAATCACGACACACGAATGTAAGTCATACAAATGTGCCATCTTCATTTATGACGGGGGTTTCAATGAACGCAATATAAGTCATACATGCGTGTAGATGTGCACATTTGTCGGATTTCAATCCGATCCGGATCGGTTTTTATCCGATCCGATTTTTTTGCCATTGAAAAAAAATCGGTTTATAAAATAATCGGTTCGGTTTTTAACCGGTTTGGAGGGCCAGATATCCTAACCGGTGTAACCGGTTTCGGTTTTAAAAAAAATCGGTTTTTTTAAAAAATCGGTTATAAAAAAATCGATTTTAATATTCCAGATTGCTCATAGGGAGCCGATTCCCCCCCCAAGGGGTACCGATTCCTCACTGAATGGTTTGGCTCCGAGATTTCCAGAATGCTCGGAGGGAATCGATTCCCCCATAGGGGGTACCGATTCCCCACTATTCAACGGTCGAAATATTTGAATTTTACACTTAGGGAACCGATTCCCTATGAGAGGAAACTGATTCCCTATGAGAGGGTACCGATTCCCCCACGCTCCAAGCATTTTTATTAAATGTTTTCACACTTAAACGGCTATATTATCTTCATTAATTATCACTAACGTTCAGAAGTGATTCAATGTGTATTTAAGCAAGCTTAGAAGCCATTGATCAAAGACAAGAAACATCAAGCAACTAGAATCAAGAGAGAATCAAAGAGAAAGCATCAAACCTCAAGTTCGATAAATTCAAATACTTAATTGAAATATTTAATTAACTCAACATAATTGAAATACTTAAATACTTCCAAGTTTGATAAATTCAAATACTTAAAAACTTTCAAGTTCGATAAATTCAAATACTTAAAAACTTCAAGTTCGATAATTGAAACAAAGTTTACGATAATTGAAATAAAGTTATAAAATAAACTACATTGCCATCTCTTCTTCATCATCTTCGCCTTCTTCGTTTGGAGGGGATATTCCAAGTTCGACTTCTTCAATGTGTAAGTTTGCTTCCAAATCGGCATCAATTGCATCTTCTAGGGTGGTGATATGTTGCTTACGAGCCGCTCCATCCAAATAATCCTTTAAACAAATGCATACTTCCACCGACTCGGGACTTAGTCTTGATCTCCGTTGCGATATAACCCTGCCACTAACAGAAAAAGCGAATTCCAAAGCTACCGTAGAAGCTTGGACGGTTAGTAAATCACGGGCCATGGCGGCTAGAATCGGAAATTGTGCTTCCTTTTCTTTCCACCAAGCCAAAATATTCAAACTTTCAAACTCTTCAAATGTCATTTTTGATAGAAAATCGCATGACATGTAATTTCCCAACTCGTTACTTGGGGTGGTAGTACGTGATCGTTTGGATTGGGAATTTACAAGAGTGTTAAAAAGATTCAAATTTATGTTACTTGGACGTCTACTAGATGATTTCGCATTCATTCTCATTTGATCGTGTATTACACTACTTAATCCGTATTTAGTTAAATAAATTGCAAACATGTCTCAAAACATTTGTTAAAATAATTTATTTGGTTTTGGACAAAGTTGGGTTCATCATCGGTTAGATTAAAAGCAAACGCAATTTGTTCAATTAGTGTTTTAACCCCACCAACATTTAACGTTGGGTTTAAAGCGGCGGCACAAGTAAAAATGGGGGGAATCTCCTTAAAATATTTTAAAAGTTTTTCCTTCATTGCAAAGCCAATTTCTTGAAAAACTTCGGTTTCAAATTCAAAGTCATTTAGTCGGGTACCCAACAAAAATATTTGATTAAGAACCAACGGGCTAGTAGGGTAATAAACACCGGATAAAAAAGTTGTTACATTTTTAAAAACCTCAAGCAAATCGGTTATTTTGGCTATAGTTTCCCAACTCGAATCCGGATAAATGTTTGGGACATGACCCCTCTCGAAAAGCCGATCGTGAAATGTTTACAATGTTTCCCTTTGCCTTAAGGCAGTATGCATCATCATCCAAGTTGAGTTCCAACGAGTCGGACAATCCAAATTAGGACCCAAAGCTTTTTTATTAACGGACTTACAAAATCGTTTATAATCATTTAGTCTTTTGTTGTTGTTACAAAGAACCGATTTTATCATTGTTTTAAATTCTAATCTAATCGGCTCAATAACCTCCAAACCGGCTTGCACGGATAAATTAATTATGTGTGCAACGCAACGGGTATGAAAAAACGCACCGTCTAAAATCGGTGAAAGTAATATTTTCAATCTTGGAACCGCGTTTGTATTATTCGATGCATTATCAAAGGATATAGAAAAAACTTTATTTTCTAATTTATAAAGACAAATTATCCTTTTTAAAAGTGTAAATAAATTAGCACCGGTATGCGGCTCACCGAATAATTCAAACGCGATTGTTCTTTTCATCATTTGTCAATTATCTTGATCTAACCAATGTGACGTAACGGCTAAAAAAGAATTTCCGGTATTATGAGGGGAACTCCAAACGTCACATGTAAGCGACACACCATAACGGTGTTCTTGGAATCCTAAAATCATTTTTTCCCTCGCCGTACGCCACATTTTTATAGCATCTCTTCTAAGGGTAGTACGACTTACTTGAGTATAACGTGGTTGCATTAGTTGTTGAATTGTTGTCGTGAAATCTTCATCATCAAAGTGGTCGAACGGCAATGCTTTTGTAATCACGAACTTTGTAAACGCTTCTCGTAATTTTTCGTTGTCGTAAACAAAAACACCACCTTGCGGTGTAAGATTCGATTGACTAGGATCCGATCTTGAGCGAAGTGCCTTGCATGATTTTGTCAAATGGTTCTTCAACGTTGTGTTTCCTTCCGATGCAAGAAACTTTAGACAAAGTTTACAACGCGCCCTCCTCGAGCCATTTGACATCTCACATAAATCGTAGTGATCCCAAATGTCTTTGTTTCGAGTGTGTTCGATCACTCTCACGACTTCAAGGTTTCCCCCGACGGAAGATTCAACCGTGTTACTCATGATGAACAAAAAATTACAAAAATAAGATTTGAGAGATGTTTAAGTGTTGTGTAATAAGATTTGAGAAATTTATAATCAACCAAATACATCCCCAACCTATTTATACATGTTTAGGGTGGTAAAATGGTAATTTTTTAAAGAAAAAAATGGTCAAAAACGGTCACAAAATCCCCCCCAACGGCTATATTAACGGCTAGTTTTTTAAACCCAGACCGGTTTTTTTTCGGATAAAAACCGGTTTTTTATCCGGTAAAAAAACCGGTCTAGGTTTTTTTCTCCAAACCGGTTAAAATAACCGGTTTAAAAAAATCCGATCCGGTTAAAAAAAACCGGTTTTTCCCAAATCCGGTTTCGGATATTTTTTTCGCAAAATCGGATATTCGGATTTTTTGTGCACCGTACACGCGTGTCATAAATGTATGAAACACAAATGTGAGTCATCTTCATTTATGACGATGGCTTCAATGACGTTCAATGCGTGTCATAAATGCACGTCATAAATGCGCGTCATAAATGTGAGTCATAAATGCGTGTCATAAATGCGCGTCATAGATTTATGACACACAATTGCACGCCATCTGATATTTATGTAGGTGGCTTCAATGACGTGAATTTGGGTGTCATCTGCACTCATAGATGACACGCAGTGCGCGTCATTAAAGAAGTTTTTCTAGTAGTGAAAAAGGATTGTATGTGATGAAGCAAAGTTCTTTTTTTTCTTTATAATATTGTTTTAATATATTCTCTTCTTCTCATAAAATTTCTATTACTCTTATCACCTCTTTTCAATAAAGTTGTAATCAAAGCTTGATTTGATGGTAAAAGAAGATGACCAACAATGAAATGTTTTTATTTCAATTTTTTCATCTTACAAAACAAAAATATGAAAATTGATGTCTCCGCATTAAGACATTTCTTGGCTCACAAGATGATTGAGAAATCACTAAAAAAGGTTATGAATCTTCTCAAGATGAGACATCATTATCAAAACAAGAAAATGATACCTTGACCAAAATAAAAAAAAAGGATTAACAAACCCTCACCCTCATTCATTTATATTTATAAAAGTACCAAATGTCAATACCACAAAGGAAGCAATGAAATAATTAGCAAAATTCTATCCAAAGAATTGACAAAGTGAAGAAAGTTTGACTTCGAGATGAGTTCAAAAATTTGCGGACGAAAGAATATGAAACAACTTCAAATTGTTACTTAAGGGTGGTGGCCACCGTCAATCAAATGAAAAGATATGGAAAAACTTTAGAAGATTTTCGTGCGATTGAAAAAAATTCTTCTTTCTTTGACTCTAAAGTTAGAGTATGTGGTTTGCACCATTGCGTCAAAATATTTTATCATATTTGACTATTTACAAGTTATGAGTGAGTTGCAAACTCAATAAGACAGATTCAACAAGAGATATGATAAAAAGCATGCAAACAAGACAAATTTAATAAGAAAGATAATTTAAAATAGTTAGTGATTATTTTTTAAATTTATCCTAAATTTTAATAATTTTGTAACTTTATCTAGTTTATATGTATATATATATATGGGATAGAATCCACTTATACAATGTAAAACTCTTTAATTTAGTAAAAATTTAGGATCATTGGATGAGTGAAAATAGATGGTTGAGATTGATTCTTTTTTCTATTGAACATATTCTCATTTTATACTGTTAATCTCAGTCTATTTTTACTCATCCAATAGTCCTAAATATATATAAAACTAAAAGAAATTTACATTACGTGAGAATATCCTAACCTTATATATATATATATATATATATATATATATATATTCATAACAAATGTTCTTTGACTCCTAGATAAAAGCATGCAACTGCCGTCGGCAATCAAAACAATATCTTCTTTTATCGGTAGGATTTGACTTTTGATCGGGTATCAAAAATGAAAGCAAGTAACACGAACAAGAACCTTAATCAAAACCCATGTTGCTCTGATGCCAGGAGCCGACTTTGGATTGTTCTTTAATTCCTCCCTCCACCCTTGTTTTTGTTCACCTTCAAGTAACTTCCTGCTGCATGCATAGATGAATTCACCATTGTTGACGGTCCCCAACTCTCTGTTTATTGCTTGGTATGCGTAAAACGAATGACTTAGACCAAAAGAAAAAACAGAAGCTATATATGTTTTCTGGTATATACGCAAAGTGTAGAAACGTTTTACTATCGAACCAAGCTCTATTCAAATAGTATATAGACTTTTGGGGAGTCTGGAATTGCTGTTTAGTAATTTTATATTAAATTTCGAATTTTGCAACTCAAATCATATGGTGATTAATGTCACGATTGTAGGCATTTCCCAATAGTTAAGTGCACTAACAATGGAATTCCACGTGGAAGAATATCTCAGCTTCATTTCTTTCTTTTCCAGATCATAATGCATGGTTTTGAGTAGGAGCATATAAATATAATGATGTGGGTCCTCCAAGCAACTTCTTCTTCCTTCTTGTACGGCCATTTACGTTTGTTCTTGTGATCTTTCAATGCCATTAAGAGCAAGGTAGCTGTACACGAAGCACCATTTTGTCTCTAAAGTTCCCTTTTTCTCTACGTTGGCTTTCCGTTTTCTTTCAAATGAAGTTATTTAGAATCTTTTAGATTATTTCATTTATTCCTTTCCCAATATCAGTTCATGGAGAGTATAAATAGGTTCCCAGGGGAGTTAGTTTTTTCATCAAAGCTTAGCAGTTTAGACTTTAAAGCCTCCCAAGAAGCTTCATAACATTTTCAAGTATACTCTTCTCTATACCAATGGAAATGGTTCCAAGAATGGTTGCAGAGAGGCCAGTGGTGATCTTTAGCCGGAGCACTTGCTGCATGAGCCATACCATCAAGACCCTCATCAGTGGGTTCGGAGCAAACCCGAAGGTTTACGAACTCGATGAGATCGAGAACGGGCAACAAGTCGAAAGGGAACTGCATAAGATGGGGTGCAAGCCTAGTGTTCCGGTTGTATTCATAGGGCAGCAGCTCGTTGGAGGTCCTAAACAAGTCCTGACCCTCCAAGTCAAGAACCAGCTTGCCCCATTGCTCATTACGGCCGGAGCAATATGGATTTGAAACAGCAAGTAACTACTCTTAATTCCCTGGACACTGTTTTTTGGGGCTGGACAGGGTTGTAGTGTAATTGTGAACTTCATCTTGGTATTTGCTTCTGCAATACACTACAGCAGAACATGTCTATAACGATATTTTAAAGTGCCTCCCGACGCAAAAACAAATGTCGCTATAAGTCTGTTTTTACTGTAATGATAGTTTATTCAAGAGTGTGTTCTTTTTCATATGTTTATGTTTATGTTTATCCATGGAAACATGTAAGATATATGCAATGTACTAAGCATTAACTATATGTTTATTGTTGTTCTCAAAATTTTGTCATGTTTTACATGCAATGAACTCAAAGTTGAGGCAAATTCAGAAGGTTTGATCGAATAAGTATACCTATTTTAAATTAATCAAATTAATAAATCTTATTTTATAATTATAATCTAATTTTAAAAAAATTAATCGAGTTTAATGAAATTTTAAATTTTGTATATATTTTTAAAATGTTTAAGATTTTCTTTTAAATTTTTATTGAGAGAGACCAATTTACACTTATTTAAAATTGATGGTTACCAATGAGGTATTTACATTAATCTGTTATTTGATTCATATGAGTGATAGAAATTAACTCGATTTAAACCGGAAAAAAATTATTATATTCAATTAACTTAAATTTAACTATTTTTTAATTAAATTAAACTTCACTCAATTAGAAGATATTAACCTTAGCTTTAATGGAATTTGAGGGAGCCAAGTAAAAACATTTGTTAAAATTTTATTATCAAAACATTTATTTTGGGTTTTATAAAAAATTACCTGATATTTTTTTATTAATCCTTAATATATTGATGTAGCAGAATTCATTAATTATATATATATATAGAACTAAAAATTACTATGTTTTCTAAAAATTACTTAAATTACATAAAAATTATTAAAAATAAGTAATACAGAGGTATACAAAATTTTTTTTAATTCTATAAATAATTAAAAATGATTTTATAAAGTACAACAATTTTAAAAAAAGTAAAAATTATAAGAAATACTAAAAATCATGAAGTATAAGTACGATTATCTTTGTTATAATATTAATTATTTGTAATTATTTTATATAATTATATGTATTAAATTTATTAGTCGACTAATCAATATCAAGTACTACAGAGGCTTTTATGGAACGATCTTCTTAATTCAGTTTACTCTAATATCAATGTTATTTAATTAACTAAAGTAAGTGTTAAAAAGTTAAATGTTGAAATTTTAATATTAAAAAAATAAGTATTGAATTTAGATTATAAATTTAAATATATAATTTAATATTTAATATAAAAAAATTAAAAAGATATTGAAAATATTAAATTATTACAATTATTAATTTTCAGTAAATGATTTTTTTTCAATAGGTTATGCTGACCTTAATAAACAACTTCAGTAACTTATAGAAAATTTATCTTATAAACCGGTTGCAATCTTGGTAATTAATCATGGTAATTTATCTGGATTATGATCTGTGTTAGATTTTCCGGAATAACATTGTTTCATCAAAAACAGTAAAAAGATGACATCTATCCATTCAGAACATATGTTCTTCAAAATCAACTGATTTTGTTCTTCAAAAACAGTAAAAAAAATATCTTGTTTTATCATGAAATTATAGCAGGTTTTGACTTTTGATGGATAAATGAAAACCATTAATTCGAACAAGAACTGATTCGACAACCTTAAATCCACTTCGAATCCTTCTTTTTCCTCAAGTAACTTGGTGCTATATGAACAGATGAAGCCACCATTGTTGACATTCCCAGATTCTCACTACATGGCCTACTGTGCTCAAACTCAGAAAAAAAGAATCTTCATATATCTTTTGATAAATATTAGCATATATTGAATCCATGCACAGCTACATATATTTTCTGGTATACATACAAAGTCTGGTGAAGAACATACAGGTTTTGATCAAGTGACCCCAGCCTTTCGCTCTATGCGGAGCCATTTTCGATTATATCATCAGGCAAACAAGAGAAGCAGCTGCACCAATCATATCTTTTAGATTGATTATGGTAGCATTGCTTTGGATTTTAATATTCTTGTTTCTTGCTCACCAAGTTAGATTGTGCAGTGTCGTTAGTAGGCGCCTCCAAATAGTTTAGTGCACTAAGTAACAACAGTGTCCATACGAAAGAATATCTCATCTTCATTTCATTTATGAGAAGGGCCCTCAAGGCATCTTCTTCTTCCTTCTTGTACGGCCACTCATGTTTGTTCTTGTGATCCTTCAATGCTGTTAAGAGCAAGGTACCTTTATCCCAAGCATCATTTGGTCTTTCCATTTTTTCTTTTCTTGAAATGATCTTATTCAGTTGGATAAACCCAACTCCTTTTTCCACTTCAGCAAGATGCTGCAACAAGTGTTGTTCGTACAGTCGCCTATAAAGGTATCATTGACATGTCATGAATTCGAATCTCAGCATCCACTATCCTTTTCCTACCCCCGGATTGCGTACTTTGTCACGTGTGTATAAGCACATTGTTATGCAACTTGTTAATCATCAAGAGTAATACAGGAACGATGATCTTTTGAATTATTTTATTTATTCTTTCTCAGCATCAGTCCATGGACAGTATAAATAGAGCACCAGGGTAGTTAGTTTCTTCATCGGTTCTAAGCAGTTTAACCTTTTAAGTTCACATAACATTTTCAAGTATACTATTCTCTATCTGCATATCAATGGAAATGGTTACAAGGATGGTTGCAGACAGACCTGTGGTGATCTTTAGCCGGAGCACTTGTTGCATGAGCCATACCATCAAAACTCTCATAAGTGGGTTTGGGGCAAACCCCACGGTTTACGAGCTGGATGAGATCCAGAATGGCCAAAAAGTCGAAAGGGAACTGCATAAGATGGGGTGCAAGCCGAGTGTTCCGGTTGTGTTCATAGCGCAGCAGCTCATTGGAGGTCCTAATGAAGTGATGACCCTCCAAGTCAAGAACCAGCTTTCCCCATTGCTCATAAGGGCCGGAGCAATATGGATTTGAAACAGCAAGTAACTAATTTCTATACTCTGAAGTCCGATACGATAGCGCTAAACAAACTCGGGTTAATGATATTGTCGCCGATTAGGCGCTTTTTGCCAAAAATCCTTGTACACTGTTTTTGGTGCTGGACAGGGTCTTAGTGTTGTCCTTGTTCTAAATTTGCACATGTAATGAACTTTTCTTTGTCTATGCTACTTGGTTGTCTGTCATTTTCTTCATTCATACAGACATTCTCAGTCACAAATGCCACTATCTTAATCAAGCAACCCCAGGATCCAACACTCAAATGAAAAATAGAAAAGGGAAAATGCTACTAATTCAATTTTGTCATTAGACCACAAATTTCACACTACATATAATTTATATTCACTCTTTCAGTTATGCACACATTCTACAATTGTCATGATACAGAGTGACGCCTACGCCTTTGGAAAAAGAATCGAGATTCCAAATTTGCTTTACACCCTAAGGGCTTAAGGTTTTTGATCCTGAATAAGGAGTTGAACTTGCTTAATTTCTTAGTGAATGATTTGAACAACTTATTAGCAGCATGGGACCTGACCAACTCTTGTTTCATGGACACATGATCTTTTTCTAAGTCGGTTAGCCTCATTCTCATCCGTGCAACTTCGAGTTTCAGCTCTCCGTTCTCTATTCTTACTGATGCGTAGTTGTCTCTAGGCGAGATGGCTCCATTACCTGCACCACTGCCTGATCGTTGGGGGAACTGACCATTGATTGCACTATAAAAGAACTGATTGGGGCGTCCTCTCATTGCGTTCCGAAGCCTGATTTGCTCCAAATATAACACTTGGACAGCCATTTGCACCGGTAACCTTTCGTTCTGCGCTGCATGGCTACAGGCTTCTTGGGATAGTTTCTGACAGTCTATCGTTTTGCACAGTCTATAGTGTTCGGAATCCTTTATGTTGTGGTGAACCTGTTAAATGAATCAGAGAATGAGCCTTTATGTTCGGAATCGTTAGCTATGCAACTACTTGGTGCTTTCGTGTGAGATCCTTACTTTGAGGTGTTAGGAATTAAACGAGTAATTTCCCTATAATCAAATTAGTGAGAATGCGAAATAAAAGGGAAAAAATAATACCCGAAATTGATAAAGGAGTTCATCCAATTATGCCTACGCCTCCGGACTGCTGTAGATCTTTTACTAAAAAGAGAAAATTTACAAGTGTTTACAAAACACTCACAACTCAAAAGAAAGCTCTCTAGTATTGGGAGAAAGAAAATGATTTGGGATGATTTTGAAGCTAAATGGGTTAGAGTATTTATAGTTGAAGCTTAAATGCTAATCTTGTAAATACCTTAAAAAATGGACTAAAATGCAAATTTTCCATTACCATTTTCAATAAAAAGTTAAATGCAGCGAATTCGGTGCCTAATCCACCGAATTCGGTGCCCCCTTAATGAACTTTCATTCTTTTAAGCCGCACTTCTTGACTTCCAACAATCTCTCACTTGAAGACTGATTTTAATATGTCTTCACACCTTGATCAATGGAGAAGCATTTCTGGTCTTGTTACTCTAGCATGCCAACTGAAGCTGAACACAACTTCAGTTTGTTCGTAGTCACCGTCTTTGTTAACATGTCTGTCGAATTTTGAGCTCCACTAATCTTTTCAAGTTTCAAAATCTCATCTTCCAGAAGAGACCGAATAAAATAATATCGCAATTGTATGTGCTTCGTCTTAGAATGAAAAGACAAATTCTTCGCTAGATGGATAACACTTTGACTGTTGCAATACAAGACATTGTTTTCTTGTTTCTTGCCTAACTCTTCGAAGAAACTTTAGAGCCAAACCATCTCCTTGATGGCTTCCGCAACAATGACATATTCTGCTTCAGTTGTGGAGAGAGAAACTATCTTTTGTAGTTGAGAAACCCAACTCACTATAGTACCTCCTAAAGTATAGACATACCATGTAGTGCTCTTTCTGATGTCAATATTTCCGGCTAAGTCGACATCTACATAGTCTGTCAGTATTGTATCTCCACCTTTGAAACAAAGTGTTTTGTTTGTGGTATCCCGCAGATATCTGAGGATCCATTTGACTGCTTCCCAGTGTACTTTGCCCGAATTATTCATGTACCTACTAACAGCTCCTATTGCTTGAGAAATATCTGGTATGGTACAAACCATGGCATACATCAGACTTCCTATTGCTGAGGCATACGGCACCTTCACCATGTGTGCACGTTCTT